GCACGTGCAAACCTTTTGATGTTGCACTCTGTGTCACATATGCGGGTAGGGCGGGTAGCGCTGGCAAGCTCAAGGTGCCAAATTTACACAGGCCACCCAGAATGCATTCCAGCATAGTTATTGAGCATATCCATTTCCTGGTGGACCCTAAAAGTGCGCTCTGCACGTGCAAAAAATTATCCGCGCCGGGCGGTGGGGATACTTGGACACCCCATGTGGATTTATGTAAATATCTTGAAAACGGCGTTGTGTAGCGCCGCCGTTTTTGGCACACCTTTTCGTAAATCTTTTTCACACATGCTGCGTAACTTTTAGACTTAGGTCACTCAAGGTTAGGTCATCAGGTTAGGTCCAAGTGATCTTACCTTAGGAAAAGTTATAGTGCCCGTCATAGCTACACAGACTGAACAATCGGTCTAAAACGTTGGCAGCGATTACTAAGAGCACCATTGTACCTCTACCTCGGAATTTCACTGTCCCTGACCTAGGGCTCTGTTGATTTTGCGACCTGATAGGTAAGTCAATGGGAGACAATTAAACTGCGCTTCTGTTGCACGAAACTCATATAAACATACTAAACAATGCACTCAAATAACGGGACACAGGTAGCAGGGAAACGTGACAAATTTAATCGGGAAATTGCACCTGTGACTTCTACTTATGTCCTGGGGTTATTTCAGGTCATGATAGCCCTCCACAACATTTTGACAGTAACCTTTGGTAGAGACATGCAAGAGCGCTGAAAACACTTTTGATATGTTAAGTTCAACTTCGTAAATTGAGTTTGTTGCGAGTTCTGCGGGTCATTTATCAGGAATGTCATGTTTGTTTTGATCACAGCTGATGTTTTCATGCATTTAGGCCAGGTCGGGTCAGGTCAGGTTAGGTCAATAGTAGGTGTCCTGCCGCTTATCCATAGTAGGTGTCAACCACCACTGATGGCGTCGTAACATGTTACGATCGAAGGCTCTAATAACTTCTTAAATGTTAAACTGACAGAGCTGGGCAAGTGCGTTCCTTTAGTGCGTTCCTGCGTTCTTCCGTACGTACGCACCGCCCTTTTTAGGAACGCAAGAACGCAGGAACGCAAAGTTTTTCAAAGGAACGCAAGTAAGAGGAACGCACCACCCGAAATTTTGAAGCGTTCCTGCGTTCTTGCGGAACCACCCGAAAAATCATATTGCTGCCAATGACCTCTGTGTCAAATGTTTGAATCTCGAGTACGTGTGTTTGCCGGTAGAGGCGCCACTTGTCGGTCGAATCGAGGAAGGCTTGTTTAGATTTAGTGGTGATGTTCACTATTCGATTCGGTTTCAGGCATCAAATGTGTAAAGTAAATATGATAACTTTTACTTAGGTACATCTTTCAACTTAACTATTGTTTTTAAGCAGGTCGTATTTTTGTTGAAAACCCTACGGATGATATTGGTAAAACGTATTTCAGATATTCGATTCGGAAAAGAGATGTCGAATTGCTTTTCGGCCCCGCGTCGCCATTCTGGGTATTCGGCCTTGGGGTATTCTGTGATCGATTCGCCCCGTGTTTGGTTGGGCCCGCGCCGCGTGGTTCGGCGGTATTTCTTTGTCCACGACTTCGGTTGTGAAGAACACGCCTGTAGTGTTGGACTGGCGCGATTTGCCTACTTTGTCCGCTACAGTGTTGCGTTGCACTGATTTTGGTATGATTTGCTGCTTGGTAGAGCCAGAATACAATACGGGTTAACAGTTTGGGACGCAGGAACGCAGGAACGCTAACGCACCGAGCGAAAAAAAATTGAGGAACGCTATTCCAGGAACGCACTAACCACGGCCGGAGGAACGCAGGAACGCTAACGCACTACCGAAAATCGAGGAACGCGCCCAGCTCTGTAAACTGAATGCTAAATTCGAAATCAGCCCCCAAAATTGTCCTAGGAACATGTAAAACTGGAAAAGGTGAGCCAAGGTCATTAAAGGTCAGTGACCTGGACCTAATTTTCACGTGACCATGACACCCACCATATTGCATGTGACCAACATTATATCACATGTTTGAACGCTTGAAACCACGAAAAGACAGCAAATGCGCGGCTAGTGCGCGCCGACATACGCCGAATCGCGATTCCGGCCAAACATGGTCTCGTAATAATAACTCAATATCAGATGCTGATTTACCGCTACTCAGTCAAGTTAGAACCATTTCTTGGCCGCGGTCACCGTTCAGGCCACCACATAATCGTATTACACCGCGCTTGCTCAATGCTCAGTTCGTATTGTAAAAGCACTGCGGCACAGCATAGATGCAGGCGCTGTGCTACTGCCATCTATGGGTGAAAGATGAAGATAATGGTTATTGCGGTACAGTATCACTGCGGGCGCAAACAGCGTGGAAACAAAGATGCCTATGCTGCGCTACCGGGCAATGGTAGCGTAAATTTGCGTACCGGCTGGGTAGCTAAAAGTTTTGAAGCCCGAATTAGCGTAACCTGATGACCTAACCTTGAGTGACCTAAGTCTGAAAGTTACGCAGCAAGTGTGAAAAAGATGTATGAAAAGGTGTGCCAAAAACGGCGGCGCTACACAACGCCGTTTTCGAGATATTTACATAAATCCACATGGGGTGTCCAAGCATCCCCACCGCCCGGCGCGGACAATTTTTTGCACGTGCAGAGCGCACCTTCGGGGTCCACCAGGAGATGGATATGCTCAATAACTATGCGGGAATGCATTCTGGATGGCCTGTGTAAATTTGGCACTTTGAGCTTGCTAGCGCTACCCGCTCTGCCGTATATGTGACACAGAGTGCAACGTCAAAAGGTTTGCACGTGCACAGCACGTGCGCCGTGTACCCCAGCACATTTATTTGTACAGCGCCTTAAAGCACTCGTCCAGTCGTGTCAGTGTGCCAAATTTGGTGTGCCTAGGTCAAGGTTTTCCGGAATCGGAGGACGCCTCCCCAAAGCATGTTTTTCGCCCCTGGCGCGTGCATTCCGCACCCCCTGCTGCCGAGTATACCATATGTTAATGGTCGAACACCGGGACATGTGACCTGTGAATTTGGCACCTGTGCCGCCCACCGTTTAATTTGGAGCGTCGCTTAAAGGTTCTTGCCCTTCCTGACTTTGTCGGCACGTGGCACGCGCCACGTGACACCGAATGACCTGTGACATGCAGCATCACCTGCCTCGAAGCATTACCCGTCGAACGGTACCACCAGCATCTCGATCCGATCATCCGTTTAGACGCAATTCCAATTGTATTGGCTCGATGACCTTTCACAGCACGGCTTTTTGGCAACGTAAAATGGCGCCTTGTCGGCTTCACTACCTTCCATAGGAGGTCCATTGGGATCGTCAGTCCAGTTTATTTATACGTCCGTGGACACGGGCTACAAGATGGCTATCTCAGTTTCAATCCCCATGTTACGGGTGGCCCTTTTCCTTTAACCCGCGCCCCGTAGGGGGGGGGGGGCCGAAACGGCCCCTCCCTGTCCTTTTCGGTCGATATCTCCTAAACCGCTTCAGATATCGCCACCAAACTTTCAGGACCCCTCCGGGCATCAATTTTACACATTGTGACCAAAAATTTTCCAGAGGCTATGATAGGTTGGCCACAAATGACGTCATGTTCTGTCATTTTCGACCGAATAAAGACCTTCGCGAGAAGACCTGTCAGGCCTACAGCTTTGAAGATACAGAAAAATGATCAAGACATAAAAGGTGTAGAATTGACAGGGCTACAAAACTGCTATCTCGGATGTTTGAAATTTTTGAGTTTTGAACCCCAAAAATCAAAAAAACTTTTTTTTTGATATATTAGCCAAAAAATCCAAAAAGTTTTTTGAGTTTCAAAAAAACCGGAATATATGTGATAGTACCTACCGTCTTCTATCTACATACCGAATTTCAGATCGATACCTCGTTTTTTGGCCAAGTTATAGCGAAAAAACTGTTCAAAATTGATGACGTCAAATTTTCAAACTCAATTTTTGGCAGTTCTAGACCTCGTAGAGCAAAACAAAGACCACCATTAGACTCCCCGTGACGAGCTGCATCGAATAGATACCCATTTTTTTGCAAAAATATCAACTTTGAAATTTGACCTTATTTGACCTGACCTTGACCTGACCTTCACCAAAACGTGACCTAGGCTGGCCCCAAAGGCTGCCTAACCCACATAATCGCATTTGTCATGTAAAATGGACCATAAAACATGTATCACACGACACTTTCATATTGTGACCCCGGTGACCTGACCTCGCTGTGACCTGACCTGGTATCAGTGACCTCAGATAGCAAAGTATGTGTTTGACGAACAATGTACCATCGATGGTTTTCAATAAATTACCAATTAACTCGATTTCACAACACATTTCTTGAAATGCCTGTGAACGGTGAAAATCTGACCTTTGACCTGACCTGTGACGTCATCGGTTTGACCTAGGTCAATGAAATTTGGTCACAAGGTAGTTCCCGGGTGGGGCTATCGAACGCCGTTTGAATTTTGAAAATCAGCCGGTAACTTTCCGAGATCTTAGGGGGGCCGAAACGGCCCCCCCCCCTACGGGTGGTAGGGTCCGCCGGTAGCCCTACGGGGCGCGGGTTAACTCGGAATTGTAACAATAAGCACGTGATGATTTACTATTTAGAAACTTTATGAATTTGAATAATTCAATGATCTTGAATCACATCCATGTTTCGCTTATGATGGCTTATGCTTTTCTACGCATCGACGCTCTCCAAAAAAAAAAAAAAAAAAACGCTTTCCTTCCCGGCATTAAAATGGTGAGATTTTAGCCCTGATGGCGGAGGAGGGGGGGGGGGCAGGTCGGTGACTGCGGGGATTTGGCTTCCCTAGTCAACATGCTAGACGAGTCCCTGACCTTTCGTCCGATGGGCGCATCAATCAAACAAAGATGTCATGGTATACGCACATGTCAAAAAACATCAATCAAAGATGTTATTGTATACACAATACACATACGCCTCGAGGCTCGAGACACTTTCCTCCCAACCACTCACCTGTGACCGTGGGCGCCATAGTGACGGTGACAACAGCGACGGTGTAGTCTCCTCTTCGCCTCTCGTTCGACCACCAGCACCAAATCTACCTCCCTGTCAGTCCAAGCATCACCGACACGGCCGCACCGACCAGTCCAGCGCGGCGGCACGGTTCGACTCCGCGCACTGAAGGACCCGCCGACGACGTGCCGCCGACGCCGACGTGCCGCCGACGCCGACGAGACACGCCGCTCGTCCTTCTCAAGTGCGCGGCCGGGGACAGCTGCGGGGCACCGAGAGCACCGGCTCCGGCTGACGCCCGACTCGGATGTCGGGCGCGCAGGCCACGTGCCCGACACGGACCGGGCCGTGACGAGAGGCGGCGCTCCTGGCCAGACGCGCAGTGCACCTGTGTGTAGAGAGGGACGTGCCGGCGGCGATCAGAACAATGCCACCCGGACCGTACAGGTGCCGCCGCCGCCGGGGACGACACAACCTGGCGCTGAGTGGCAGCAAGAAGCCACGCGACAGTACACGCACGCGGTCTGTCTGACAATGGGAGACCCAACAACTCATGAAACGTTGAATAGCTGAATAGCGTCAGATAGGTAGCTGCTAAGTGGTAGTGAAAATTTTAATTTAAATCAGCCTACGTGTTAGCTTAATCCTTCAGCCCAAACTTCCATGAAGGCGAGTTTTGTAGGAAGTATCATTAGAATATATGACCTTCTCCTCGGAAAATGACCAAATGAATGAAAATGATTATTTATTGATGAATTGATGATATTTCGGTCACAGACCTTCGTCTAAATCGAATTCGTTAAATCGTACAAGGCAAAAGTAGCGAGTGAAATGCGCAACAATTGTCGACTGCCTGTAGAAAGTGAAAAATTCAAAATTCGTTTGTCTCGTGGTCGTCATGCAGGGCTAACATCACATTTCGAGGTTCGCATCGCTTTCGATCGTAAAAACGTATCGATATCAAATCGTACAACAATATCGAACAACAAAACATCAACAAAACATCTGATCATACACCCTAAAGATATCATGCACTTAAAAAGCAAAAATATAGCTACGCCCTAAAAGGTACACATGAGCAGAAGTTCGGTACAAACAGATTGGCAAAAGCATATTCATCTAAATACATGCCTGCTGGCAAGAGGGCGAAGCGCCGGCAAGACGGTGCAGCGCCTAGACCCACAGCGGGCCTCGTGATGGATAGGTCAGGCGGCTGGCGGGGGGGGGGGGGGGGGGGGCGCGGCCGTCGCCGAGCAAAAGTTGTGCGTCATATATAGGTACACTGTACAACGTACATACATATAATGAGGTACACATACATGGTGAAATATCAAAAAACCAGTAAAATATATATAACATACACATCAAATCTAAAAATACAAAAATACAAAAATACAAAAAGTCACACTACTCGCATGATAGGCCATGACGATCCCTGAATATTCAATGTCGGTGTCTCGCTCCTAATGAGTATGCTTTCAGCAATTTTCCTGTCTGGATGATCCTGGGCTCTGTAAAGTATTCTAAGATGTAAGACATCTGAACCCGTATCAGTCACTGAAACGTGCTCCTTCAGAAAGTGGTCACCGAATGGAGTGTTGGGGGTTCTATTGATAGCGTCACGTCTGTGTTCATTATATCGTAGACGGACTGGACGCATGGACTCCCCCACGTAAGTGGCATCTTTTCCCTCACTTTTGCATATGCTACTTTTGCATCACTTTTGCATCACCTGCATCACTTTTGCATCACTTTCTACAGGCAGTCGACAATTGTTGCGCATTTCACTCGCTACTTTTGCCTTGTACGATTTAACGAATTCGATTTAGACGAAGGTCTGTGACCGAAATATCATCAATTCATCAATAAATAATCATTTTCATTCATTTGGTCATTTTCCGAGGAGAAGGTCATATATTCTAATGATACTTCCTACATTTATCATGCTCCTCGCAGCAGCTCTCAACGATATACGAAGGCGAGTTTTGTCTAACTACTTAAAAAAGTGGCTTAATTCTTCGTGGATCATTTACCTACCTACCACTACACATTTTGAGTTCGAAAAACTAGTGGGGCAAAGTGGGCCACCGCACTTTTTTCTTGCTCAAGAGCCACTTACTTTCAAGAACATTTATTAACGTCCTTAATTCATCTGCTATAGTTCGTTTTTTTTTCAAAAGGACGCTGGCTCCAAGTTCCTTATCGAAGCTCTCACGTGAGTTTTGGCAGCTTCAGCGTCTGGCCAAGAATTTCTTACCGAAAAAATATTCGATTTCAAATTGTGCACGGTAAGTACCCGGAAACTGTGTCTTGAAAAATTAGCATACTATGATGACGTCACTGGTGGCAGCAGGCACCCAATGTCTGTACGATGCGTGGTACGATGGGACAAAGTTTCGACGAATTTGGGGGAAACTTCGTTTTTCACTGTTGCCGAGGTTATAATCGAGTAAGCGGTTTCGTCCATAATAGTTATACGTTACATTGCAATACAAGTTCGACAGCATGACGTCACCACTGTTCTCATATCTGGTTCCAAAATGCACGTATGGAAATTATTGGGAATACTTCACATGTTAAAATAAGGCGACGCTCGAGTTTCTCAGGTTCAGTTTTTGCTCGTTTTGCTCGCTAAAACGCGTGCTTTTACGAAAAAAGTACTTGGAGCCAGAGTCCTTTTGAAAAAAAAACGAACTTTAGCTACAACGAATTCAATTTTACTTTTTAGCCTATCCCATTTTTCTGAATTTTCCGATAAAGAGGCGAGTGTATCACTTTACCCGACTCCAGTGGCGCAGCCAGGATTTTGTTTCGGGGGGGGGGGGGGGGTTCATTGCCTCCAAGGCGGGCCCCCTAGTGTGCGGGCCCCCACCCATTTTTCAGAATCTCTCCATATTTCATATGCGTTCTGCTGAGCGGGCCCGCTTTACCTACCTGCACGACAGTGGCGGCGGATTCGATTTTGGCGTGGGGGGGGGGGGGCAAGATCCCAGTCGAGATGATGTCATAGGCGGATCCAGAAAGGCGTTTTCGACGCTGTAAGGGACATACCCCCCAAAAAGTGTCCAAAATCCAAAAACTCCTCGGATTTCGATTCCTTACGGACTTACTACTGAACAGCATAAAGCAAAAAAAATCCTGATAAAAGTGTTATTATTAGGAAACATATTTGTCTATTTCGGGCGATGCAGGGGCCAGGGGAGGGGGAGTAAATATTTGCTTTAAATGGCCTCTCCCTGGATCCGCCAGTGGACGATGTAACGCTTTTCGTATTGCTGTATTAGAAAAAAGCTCCTATGGGAAAAAATGTGCCATAACCCGATCGCATATCAGATGTTGAAGAACGGTGCCAAACCTTTTGAAGTAGGCGCGCGCTATTCTTTGCAATAAGGTAACTCGTTACCATTTCCTCTGTTCATTTTACGTTCGATTTCCATTTAACCTTCCTTTAAAAAGTATTTCTGAGACAGATATCAACTGAAACTAGCTCACAGCGGGAGGAGACCGCTCAAACATTCAAAGACAGTCGGTCGCATCTAAACATATTGGGACAGCGATCCGCCAGAAACCCTCCCCAAGGCAGTAGTTCACCAAATAAGCTCACCGAGACGGGCTGTCTCGATGGGTTTATACAGTAAGCCTACAGCAAGGCTTAACTAAGGCCCAAACGCTCGTCAAGCTGGGAACGGAGGGTGAGGGAGCGCGGCGGCGGGCTGAGGTGAAGGAACGGTGGACTGGAACGGGAATCCAGAAGCTCTGGGCGGGGCGTTTCTTTATTAGGGCTTTAGGGTGTGCTGACTGCGGTAAGGTCCAAATTATCACACCAAATTTTGCCACGACATCTACCGGTTCAGGCACTCGAGAATCAGTGGCCAGTGATATCTGCAAAGACGAAGCATTTCCAACCCAGCTTCAGCCTGGTGTCAGGGCGCCTCAGGTGGCTTTAATTACAGTTGCACATACCAATTACCAAACGACCTTAGTGCAGCCAGTCTGTGGCCGAAACCATTCGGAACAGACTTCAACGAAAAGGACTTGGGCCCCGTTGGCTTGACCCACTGGAAGGTGGTAGCTATCCGACGCTGCGGGGCATACTCATTTTTCCAAAATGCCTTAGATTTTGCTTTCGTGTTCATAGGCGGCGGAACGGGGAGGGCACCGGGGCACCGTGCCCCCTTTGATTTTGGCATTTTAACGTTAGCCCTATGGGCGTTGCATGGAAAGAATGGGACCAAAAGTCGGCAGTGCCCCCCCCCCCCTAATTGAAGGTGTTCCGCCGCTACTGTTCGTGTTTGATGCTCTTTATTCTATAGCCAGCCTTTAGACAGAGGGGGGGGGGAGGGGCACTAATGATCAGTGCCCTAACCCTCAAAAGTTTGCATCATTAATTTTTACTTTTTTAATAGTGAAAACTGAAATAAAGCGGATACTGAACTGTGGACATCCAGTTTTAACACTGGCCCCACACAAGCCTCCGAATGCCCAAAGCAGATCTATGATGACTGGCCTTTGGGTGCCATACCATACCATGCATTGGTCAATGTGGTCAATGCGTACGACCGTGGCTTATTATGAGCGCTCATCAGTCCTAACTACCCGCAAGCGAATGGCTAGCCCTTCCGTCTCCGCTCGCTTGCGATTTGGCATTTATGTAGGTACAAAATAGCGGCAAACGACCACTGAAGGTATGAGTTGCGTCTCTTGCACACTTAAAATATCTCTAAATCGAATCTAAAAAGACAAAAAATGATATAAAGCGGAAATGGTTAGCATTTACACATATTCAAAAGGCACCGTTGGACAAACTGTAGGAGCGCATAGCTGCAATATCAGGTTATGGAAATTTTCCCCATGTTTAGGGCACAAATTATAGAGGGGCAAGAATATACGTTTGCCCCTCCTCCAAAAGTTTCTTAGGGGACGATGCCTCCTCTGCCACCCCGTATCTGTCGCCCCTGTAAGCGGTCACTGAAGGCCTGGGTTGCCGCTGCGTCACGTTGACGCTTATAATGCCTCCAAAACTAGGTTGAAGAGAGGAAAACTTCAATTGAACGCGAACGCTTGCCATTTAAGAAAGGCAACGTATGAAAGTATATGGGCATCTGGTTACATCTTCAGATGATCGAACAGAATAATCAGGTATATGGTTTCTTGTCTAAGCTTTGTCACAAATTATGGGGGGGGGCAAAAAGATACTTTTGCCCCCCCACGATTTTGCCAGGGGGGCAGCTGCCCCCCTGCCCCCCGAATCCGCCGCCCCTGCTGCACGATAACCCTGAGCGAGTTTGAATAAGAAAATTTGGATAGAACAATAGCTCGGTAATCACCCGGTGTTCAATTTTTACGCAAATTTATTTTTACAAATTTATTTAGGG